AAGAATTGATGCTTTTGAATTGTGGTGCTAGAGAAGACTCTTGAGAGTCCTTTGGACAGCAAGGAGATCAAACCAGTCAATCTTAAAGGAAATCAATTCTGAATATTCATTGGAAGGACTGATGCTAAAGCTCTAAAAGTTTGGCCACTTGATGCGAAGAGACCACTTATTAGAAAAGACCCTGAAAGACAGGAAGATAGAGGGCAAAAGGAGAAGGGAGCGGCAGAGGATGAGATGGTTAGATAACATCACTGACTTAGTGGACACGTACTGTGTGCTTAATCTTCAGTCGTGGCCAACTCTTTCGACCCCATAGACTGTAGTCAGCCAGGCTCCTCTGTCCATAGGGTGCTCCAGGCAAGAATACTGGAGTGGGTGGCCATTTCCTTCTCCAGGGGATCTTCCCGACCCAGGGATCAAATCCAGGTCTCCTGCATTGCAGTCAAACTCTTTACTGACTGAGCTGTGAGGGAAACCCTAATGGACATGAGTGAAGGAGATAGTGAAGGAGAGGGAAGCCTGGCTTGATGAAGTTCACGTGGTCACAGAGTCGGACACTACTTACTGACTGAACTAGAACAGCAACAACGTGGTTTTAAGTTTTTTGAGGAACCACCATACTGTTTTCCACAGTGGCTTCACCATTCCCACCAACAGTGCACAAGAGTTCCAATTTTTTCCACATTCTCACCAAACACTATTATTTTGTGGGATTTTTGATAGTAGCCATCTTAACAGGTGTGACGTTAGGAGGTTAGCATTTAATTGAACAATAAAAGGTTGACTCAGGCAAGGAAATAACAGGAATCAATGAAAAGTCACGGAAGGCATTATCTTATCCTATTTTAGGAAGAAATGTCCCTTGTCTTTCATTCAGCAAGACAGCAGGCTGGAATGGGAAACTGAAGCCAGCCAGCCCAGTAAGGGGCTACTACTGCGCTAGATGAGCTAAGAGCAAACTTAAGCCAGCATCAAGGATAAAGATGCTAGAACTACTTTAGAGCTGGAATTGACAAGGCTTTCAAGTGATTCTCTGTTGGACACATAGGTGATCGGTCATGGAGGCTGCAAGATGGACCATGGGGGAATTGATGCCATTTGGGGACCACGAGTGAAGAAGCAGGAGCTGGTGGTGGAGGACCAAGTGGCATGAAGGTATGGAGGTGTTAGCAAGCAGAACTGGGGCTGGAGGAGAGGATGACAGGCAACCCCGTGAGCATGGATGAGACCTCTGGAGGAAATAAAACAGAAACCAGGGGCTACTGCTGGAATAAAGCAAATAAAAGCCAAAAAGCCTCCCCAACTGGCTGAAACATTCCAGTGAAGGCATGTAGACTGAGGCTGGACTCCTGGCTAAAGAGCAGGTGTCCCCACCCGGCCACAGCAGGCATGGGGACCCTCAGCTCTTCATGGTGCAAGGTGAAATCTGCTTGTCACAGCGGGGCTGGGGACCAGAGCCCTTCTTAGAACAGCGATATCTGTCCCCTGCCTCTGCCAGGGGGTCAGTGACACCTCCTGATCGTGGGGGACACGCAAAGCCCTGCACCTTCTCCCACAGCAGAACAAAGATGCCAAGTCCTACAGGTGAGATGTAGGAAAATGGGAAGAATATTTACAGAGTTGAAAATACATGCAACCTGAGCCGCATACAGAGGCAGCTCTTCTCCTGCAGAATACACTTTGGTGACATAGTCAGTGTTTCTCAGCTGTAACAGGAAGAAAGAACACGGTGAACAGAATAAACCTAGTCATGAGATTCTGCCTTCTACAGACCCATCGACAGTTCACACTTCAGCTGCAGAAACTACCCTCGACCTGCACACATAATAAGTATTTGCAAAGCATGTATGTGTGTGTGTGTGTGTGTGTGTGTGTGTGTGTGTGAATATGTCTGTGTAGGCTTGCATGCAAAGTGGACACATTTGGTTTTCATTGTCCCTGGCTGACTCGAGGAGTTGTAAAAGATCCCCTTTCCCCGGAGACGGTATGCGGGCAGCTCAGACTTTTTCCAAGCAAGGCATGTGGTTTCGGTCGCTTGTCCCTTATTAAAGTCCATAGGAGCTGTGTGGGGGCCTGGAACACGTGGCCCCACGTCTCCCTGAGGAAATGGGGCTCTAGTAATAGATTTCGTGGTGTCTTATTTCAGATTGGGCTCCAGGAGTCCTGATGTTGGCGACTCCCTAGATTACTCACCCCCCTGAGACCTTGCTGTCGAGGATGTATGTAACGGGAGCACAAAAGAGGTGAGTGGGGAGCACGCAGAGCGCTTATCTGGTGTCTTAGGGTTGCTGGGCCCTTCTTGGGAGGGAGACGGAGGCCCCATCCAAACAGATTCAGGGACAGTCAAGACTGGCAGGAGACAAGTCATCTTACACATAAGAAAGGTGTAGGTGGGGATTTTCCAGCTTCACTCTCACAAAGGGGAAGAAAAACCCAGTGACACAATTTAAATAAAACATGTATTTGCTTTCTCTTTATCATTTGAGACAAGAATCAGTCACCTTGAATAGCATGTTTCCATACTTCGAGAGGAAGAAGCGATCTAAAAAGTATATTCACACATATTCTCAAAGAGGAGTACTATGAAGTGACCTTAGTTGAGAATGCCTATATTATAAACACCAGGTATATGTAGAATTTCAGATTTCTCCTTGCCCATCTTTGTTTTTCTTTCCTTCTGGCAAATCCTATCTGTTGGCCTCACCATCACCCAGTTACGCCCCTGCAGGGCATGTTCTTGTGTAAGTGTGGGAGGGGTCCTCTGGCTTTCTGCCTCACCTCCCCCTCACACGGGGTGCTCCACCGCCCCCGCTCCCGCCACAAATAGGAGAGGTTTGCATGCCCGCTCAGTCATGTCCAACTCTTTGCGGCCCCATGGACTGTAGCCCTCCAAGTTCCTCTGTCCGTGGGATTTCCCCAGCAAGAATACTGGAGTGGGTTGCCATTTCCTCCTCCAAGGGATATTCCTGACCCAGGGATCGAACCCGCATCTCCTGCATTGGCAGGAGAGTTCATTACCACTGAGACACCCGGGAAGCCCATAGGAGAGGTTTAGGAGTCCCAAATATTCCAAACAAGGCCTCCTGGTGAAAACAGCAAGCCAATTTAGCTGATGGTAAGAGAGCATCCAGGCTTGCGGGTTCTGTGCAGGCGTGCTCCATTTCTATCTTGGGAGACAAGGATGTGGCTTCCTCTCTTCTCTGCTGGGGAGACTCCTCACAGGCCATCCATCCATCCAGCCATGGCCACTCTCACCTCGTTGAAAGTGAGTCCTGGGGCTTGCATACAACAGTACATCTGAGCCCACCCACTGTGGGATGCCCCCCTAGGCCTGTCTGACTGTATCGCCATGACTTTCTTTCAAGTTATCTATATTTCAGCAGAATTAAACCACACGCTGCTCCCTTGTATTTCCGCCTCCACTTGGGGTCTTAAACCGTTCCTTCTGCAGGGACCACCTTGACCTCCTTTCCCAAAATCGACCGTAGGGCAAATAAATATCAACTCTCTCAAGAAACCACTTTGCTAGCCTTCGATTTTCTTCCTAAGAATGTCTGCTGGGTTTCATCTGTGCTCTGAGCCCAACTTGCTTTCCATCTCCTGGTTTTGAGTTTATCCTTCAGGACTGTTTCCCTGGTGGCTCAGAAGGTAAAGAATTCGCCTGCAATGCAGTAGACCCAGGTTCAATCCCTGGGTCGGGAAGATCCACTATAGAAGGGAATAGCTACCCATTCCAGTTTTCTTGCCTGGAGAATCCCGTGGACAGAAAAACCTGGCTGGCTACAGTCCATGGGGTCACAAAGCGTCAGATGCGACTGAGCAGCTAACACTGTCACTTTGGTTTTTTTTCTCTGAAGACAGAACTGTGACTCTATGAACTCCAGGTGCGCACGCAGTCATAGCTTTATGCACTCAACACACTGTCGACTGGGAAAAGAAAAAGCACAATGTAAGAGTCAAGGGTTAAGCTTTATTTGGGGCAAAAGGAAGACTACAGCCCAGAAGATAGCCGCTCAGAGAGCTCAGAGGTGCGGGGAGGTCTGTATGTCTGTGCTTTTGGTGGAGGGTTACGTGCAGTCAAGCACACATTTCTGCAGAGGGTTGCTGCTAGCTGCCAGGAGCAGTTGTCTCCATTACTGATTTTAGTTCTTTTCTAGACATGAGGAGATACAAGAATTGGGCTCATAAAAACTTCTCCTGAAAAATCTGCTCTTCCAGTTTCCCCCAGGGCACAGAGTGCCTCATTCCTGCCCTCTGCCCTGAGCTCCTTCAAGGGTGTGTTGAAGGTCAGTGACTGCCATGGTTCGTGACCTCGTAGAGGCAGATGGCAAGTGACAATTTTTCGACTACGACACATTTATTGTCATCGCTTCAAAAAGGCCTTCCCTGTCAACCCATTTCAAGGGGCCTTTTGTACAACTGGGCACAACCCAGCATTCTTGCCTATTTGTTCACCTGTCAACTGTCTGTCTCTCTCCCTAGCCCGTGATTCCAGGAAGATGGGCGCTCCCTCTGCCGTGTTCGCTCAGCGGCAAGCACAACACCTGGCACAGAACAGGTGTGCCCTAGTTGTTGGATGGATATGTCCATCGAGAAATCAATGAATGAATGAAGTGTATGTGCGTGGTGTTGGGTTTGTACTGGGCTTTTCAAGAGCAAGCTGGTGGAGAGCCCTGGGCTTCCAGGAGAGACATGGGTCTGCAGTCCCAGGACGTGCTGGGTTAATATTAGGGCCGCTTGCCCTGGAAGCACCCCTCCCGGCCCCCCGGGGGTAAGGGGCATGTTCTGCTACTGGGAGACGTGGTGATTTTCGGCAAATGGCACTGTAAGCCAGCTCATGGTTCAAATGCCTTGGGCGACAGTCCTCACACAGTCAGGAGGCCTGTCCTTGAGGGCCTCATGAGCTTCAAGGAAAAGCAGTGCCTCATACAACGCAGGAAGACTCCATATGTTTAGGGCAAAGTAAAGTAAATAGCAATGACATCTTCACAGGTTATGTTTCACTGCACTTCAGCACCCCCGCCCGAATGCTGTGGAGGAATCCATGGACGCGTGAGCCTAAAGAGAAGGAGAACTGTATTCCAAAGGCCACTTGGATGGTGGTGAGAGCGCCTTTCTGTACTTGCAGAGCTGTGTTTGCAAGGTTTGCCTCCCGTCAGGATCTCAATTAGGGGCAAGGACTTCTCCCAGGACGAAGGGTGTTCAGCATGTGTAAAAATATCCTTGTGTCCGCTGCGCAAATGTCTTCCCATATGCGAAATGAATTTAAGAGGAAAAGACCAAATTAAAGAGGGATTACACTGATCTCCTTTAAGAATTTTCAACTCATATTGTGCATTCTGTAATTTTTTTTTTTCTTTCTGGTGTGTGAGCTCTAAACCAAAAACAGGCCTGCCCTGAGTATTGGGATCCATGTGCCCATTAGGCTAGGAATTCATTACACAAAGCAAGCATTCTACCAACAGCCAATGTGCCCCCGTATGCCCTTCCCTACAGAGGCACGACAACCCCCAGGTGTTCATGGGATCCTTTGTGTGTTACTTTCACTCACTGTTCACACATGTTAAAACTCCGCAAAGTTCAATACGTTCCACCATGGACTCTCTTCTGAGAGTGCTTCCTACACGTCTGCATGCCATGCTGGGAAACTCACTGTGAGGAGCAGATCCCACCTGGGGTTGTGGAGGCTGATCTCAGCGCCCCCATGACACCTGCACACGTTCTCCAGGGAGGCTTCTCCAATGAGGCCAGTCCTAGGCTGCCTCTACTGAGAACACATGCATCGTTCCTAGGGCCCCAGTTGTCTGGGTTTTCTCCAGTCTTAAGAAAGAATTGCTGGACTTCCCTGGTGGTCCAGTGGTTAAGAATCCACCTACAGGGGGTTTAAGAGGGAGGGGACATGTGTATACCTATGACTGATTCACGGTGATGTAGGGCAGAAACCAACACGACACTGTAAAGCAATTATCCTTCAATTAAAAAATATATATGTATATATATATATAAAACATTCCAAAAAGAAAAGAATCTGCCTGCCAATGCAGTGGACATGGGTTTGATGTCCTGGTCCAGGTTGATTGATGGATCTGGTTCAGGTTCGATGTCCTTCCCTGGTCCAGGAAGATCCCACGTGCCACAGGGCAACTAAACCCGGGGGCCACAACTACTGAAGCCCACGTGCCTAGAGCCCGTGCTCCGCAGCAAGGGAAGCCGCCGCAATGAGAAGCCCGTGCAACCAAGAGGAGACCCTGTTCTCCAGGACTAGAGAAAGCCTGCATGCCGCAACGAAGACCCAGCTCAGCCCAAAACTAAATTTAATTAAAAAAAAAGATTAAATTGCTAGTCAACTATGCACCAATAAAAATTTAAGAAAGAAAAGAATTGCTACTATGAAGACGGAATTCAGACACTGTAGGCAAGGTGCTGGTGAGGACGCAGTACCAGGTCTGGACCCCGGAGATCTGACCATGTGTTGCTGGAAGGGGTCGGCCGTGACTGATGAGGGAGCAGACCCAGGAATCGAGACACAGGAAAGAAAGAGCTGGGGCTGGAAGGGAGACGCAGGAGGAAAGTGGGAGAGGTTGGGGCAGGTGGGGTAGCTTAGGCTTCACTCAGAATGGAACGAGGCGCTGTCTGATGTGGGACCAGGAGAGCGGGATCAAATGGGTGGTACATGGGGCCATTAAACGGCTAGAGGAAGCCGAGTGGACACTGGCTTTTACAATAATCCCAGTAAGAGGTACTAAGGGCCTGCACTAGCCCCATGAGGCTGGAAACGTGGAGGGTAACACAGGAGAGACTGGGATGCTGGTCAGGCCTGAGGGTTGCGTAACGAAACCATTAACAGGTATAAAATGCTGTGTATACACAGTATTCCCCCTCACAATCTGCCTTAGTTGCAGAAGTGCAGGGCAGTGCTTAGTAGCTCAATTGGGTTCAACCCTTTGCAAGCTTTTGGACAGTAGTCTGCCAGACTTCTCTGTCCATGGGATTTTTTCAGGCAAGAATACTGTAGTGGGTTGCCATGTCCTCCTCCAGGGGATCTTCCCGACCCAGGGATCAAAACGGAGTCTCTGTGTCTTCTTCACTGCAGGCAGATTCTTTACCAAAGACAACCCGAATCTGAAAAAAATTGAAGACATGAGAAGCATAATTTATATCAAAAACATTGGCCTTCATGGACCATAAAAAGAAAAAAAAAAACAACTCACCTTTCCCCGTATAATCAGAAAGGGGGGGAAAAAAAGGCAAGGAAGGTTCTTTCTGCCCCCTGGTGGCTTTTGGAGAACTTCACGGAAAGGGCAGAAAGAGGAAAGTTCCACTTTAGGTTCAGCGTCAACTGTGCGAACAGCACTCTCAACAAGAACAAAAACGTTCCCAAAGGTCAGACAGTTCAGACCTGCCCCAACACCGCTCACTTTCTGCCTGAGTCTGGCAAGTCAAGTTGGGGCCTCAGCCAGCATCCTCTCTGCTAAGCGCGATCAGGTGCTTCGCCCACCTCTTCATGAGATGGGAGATTTGGCCACTAAGATGCTGACCTGCTTCCACTGGGGCGCTCGCAGCAGTTGCTGGAACGTGACCTGCGAGCAGAGGGCTTCTGACAAAGCCCAGGAAACAGCTCGGCTGGCCTCCATGTCAAATCATGCTGGCCCAGGGGTTGGGTTCACAGCTCCACACACAACAGAAGCTGCTTTTAATTAGGCTGGAGAAAACTACCATTAATATAGAAATACTTTTAGGGGGAGGCGTGGTAAAAGCTAACAAATCTATTTCTGGGTCTCATCTCACTTTCCACCACCCAGGCAGCATGCTGCACTCCTATGCAACATCACCACTTCTCCATTCTCAAAAAAATGTGCTTTTGCTTTCCCAACCTCATTGATGATGCTTGTCGGTTCACTGTGGCTCTTTGAAAGGCTGATTTGGAAGAGGGAATGCCTCCTCCCAAATTTGCCTTCATGCAGAGAGATAATGCAGAAGGAGGGGGAAAAAGGCAGGAGCCCATGGGGGCGAGATGAAAAAAACCCTGGTCATTATCAGTTAGGCTGTAACTGGATATGGCAGCCTGCTGTGCGGAGGGGATCGGCGGAGACCACGCAACACTGCTGGCCTTCCAGATACCCTGTTGTTTAGTTTTGTCTCCAACAGAACAAACAAAAGTGCGCATAATTGTCCCAGGCCTCAAAACCCACTTTATTCTCCCATTATACCAAGGAAGCCCTGAATAGTGGTGCCACCGGAGTGAGGTTCTCTTCGTGGGTTCCTGTGAATAATTGTTTATCCACATTCTATTGGAGAAAGGCAGCCATTAGGAAGTCTTTATCCTCCAAACATTAAGAGTATCTTTTGAGCAGACATTGCAAGTGGATTCTAATTCCATGGTCCTGAAGACCTGTTCCAATATCATGAATTTGGCAGATGACTGTAATTTATCCGACAATATAATCTTTTCATTGCTTTAAAACAATTTTGAATGGAAATGTTTAAAATGGGTTCTACATTTTCCTGTATTAGAGTATGTTGTTGTTGTTTCAGGCGCGAAGTTGTGTCTGACTCTTTTGCAACCCCATGGGCTGCAGCCCGCCAGGCTCCTCTGTCCGTGGGACTTCCCAGGCAGGAATATTGGAGTGGGTTGCCATTTCCTTCTCCAGGGGATCTTTCTGACCCAGGGTTCGAACCTGTGTCTCCTGCATTGGCAGGCGGATTCTTCACCACTGAGCCACCAGGAAGCCCATATTAGAGTATAATGAATGACTTTTAACTGTTTCCTTGACAACCCAGCACTGCCATCACCAAAGTCAACAATGACTGGCCTGAAACTCTGTGTACTCAGGGACCGTTGAGATGCTTAGGGTTCTCTGCCTTGGATTAGTAGGGTTTACTCTTTAAAAAAAACAAAACATGTCTTGTTAAAATCTTATTTCTATGACCTTTCTTTTTGGTGACGTCTGCTTTGGCAAGGTGCGATGGGCAGAAGAACAGTGGAGCAGCGCACCCAGTCTTCTCCATGGGCCCCAATGCCCCGGCCTGATGACGAAGGTGAGCTCTGCTGACCTTAGGGCCTTGCCCAAGGTCACGCAATGAGTTAAAGTGATTCCAGAAGCTGAAACTGCTTGCCTGTAGAGTCCAGGTTCCCCCGCACATTTTTTTTCTTTTAACCTATTAAGGCTTTTAATAAAATGATCCAGTTGCTAGTGGAATATGGTCAGAAGGTTGTTCTAGGCCTGACATCAGCACCTCCCCACCCTGGTCCATCTTCCTTCCCCGGGTCTGGGCTCCCTGTCCATGGGGCCAGTGCTGGATATCCGCTGCACCTTCAGCACCACCGTGTGCCCCGTCCATTCACATGCCGTTTCCAGATGGCGCCATCCTTTCACTGTGACACCCAAAATTTCTTCTCCTTATGCCACACAGTCCAGGTGGCTTTCCCGTGAGTAAGGCATGAGCCCATCTTAGCTGCTAACAGGCAAGTCTCTTTCTTTTTTTCCTCCTTACTCTTTGATTCTCCACGTATGATCCAGATGGGGAAGTGGCTAGATAAGCAACCCGCAGATAAGCAAGACCCATGACCATCACTCACTGATGAGGCTGACATGTAACAGTTTCCACAGCTTAATGAAGGCAGTAAAGGCTGCTGCTGCTGCTGCTAATTCGCTTCAGTTGTGTCTGTCCGACTCAGTGAGACCCCATAGATGGCAGCCTACCAGGCTCCGCTATCCCTGAGATTCTTCAGGCAAGAACACTGGAGTGGGCTGCCATTCCTTCTCCAATGCATGAAAGTGAAAAGTGAAAGTGAAGCCACTCAGTCGTGTCCGACTCTTCGCGACCCCATGGACTGCAGCCTACCAGGCTCCTCCGTCCATGGGATTTTCCAGGCAAGAGTACTAGTAGAGATGAATAAAGCCCTTGGTATAATAGGCTCAAACTGTTCACCAGATTTCTTCTCTAGACTTGGTCCCTTTAATTCCTGACTTTCCCAACAGAATCTTTGGTGATGTTAGCAGAAATATTAACAACCTCGAGCGTGAGTCACCAGTTGCTGTAGGTGCAGCTTGGCCACGCGCAGATATTTCTTTGGCCTTCTTAATAAATTAGGGGATGGAATAGTATTCAGTGAATCACAAGTGGCTCTCAAGAACAGGCAGAAAACCAGGGAGACTAGAGACAGTATTTCTTCATTTCTGTACAAATCGCTACTCCCACTGTGCGGAGCTTCCAGAGGCCACTGACCAATCTCAAAGGCTCCTCTGACCTCCCTCCCCACCAGCTCTGCTCACAGTTTTGGTGAAGTGAGTCCAAATTAACTTATCTGTATCTAAGTAACATGCCTCTAGTGAAATTCTGCAAGGTCTCCAGGTTGAGAACATTGACACACAGTTTTGGCTAGAAGTAGGCTGTACTAGGGGAAAAAATG